TTTGGTTGCTTAGAAATGGCCGCTACTAACACTCATTAAAATATTGAAAAAATGCAATAATATTGTGTGAGAGTGTGTGTTTTGTGTGTGTGAGGGAGATGCTGCAAGTTTGTTTGTATCCTTCCTCTCTACAGTGACACATTGAGACTGATATGACATACTGAAATTACTGAAGTGTAGCAGAAAATTAACCTACATTTGTTTTCCTTGTCAATCAGTATGAACAAAGCAAATAAGCTATGTGAATAAGAAAAGCCTCTTTCTTTTCCCTGGTCATTTAAGGGTAGGGCAGTAATCTAGAGCCTCTTCTGGAAACAGAGTATGTTATAACCACTAATTTTATTTATTTCATAAATACATCCAATCACACATTTGTTTGAATATTGTGGTATGGAATAGTGACTAATCACTCAGGGAAATGGATGAAGTAAATTGACAATATCCTGGAATACTGTCTATTTTTCCTTACAGATGATAATTTAAAAGAGTAATTCCATTATAATCATTAATGTGGATATGCTTTACATGGATACAAAGTGCACCTACTTTGTAGGTGTACCTACTTTGTATGACTGGGTCGCTGTATTATTGCATATGGGATATCTTCCTGATCATACCTAAGATGACAAAAAGTCTAAAATGTATAAAATATTAGATGCAATGTGGATTTAGACTCATGACTAAATGTAATAACCATTCTTCTAATGTTGATGCTTCTTTTCTCACCTATAGCATAGACTCAAACAAACAAAGCTTTGCAGGTTTTAAATAGTCTCTGTGACCTCAGAAAAATAACATAAATTGAATAAAATAAGATACATTTATTTCATGTAAGATTTCACAGCTGCAGTTCTTGCAAGCTGATATATGAACTGATTTCTGCAGGAGTTTATCACGAATCTGTGGTTGCCAGCTCCTTCCTCTTCCTTTGGCTGAAAATGCTTCTCACTGGTCTCTGCACCGAGTTGTAGGAGCTAAACTTGTAGAGACCTAACCCTGAAAAAAGGAAATTTTTTTCTTCCAGTCCAAATTCCTGGTTTACCATTTTCACTATCAAATGATAGTGTTCATGCAAGCAGGGGATGAAAGAATGTTGAACAAGAGACAAGGGATCTTCTTTTGCTTCCAGTAGCTCTTAGTCGTTAGATGGATTTAACTGTATCACCCAGCTGTGCTGGTGTCTTTGCAGAGAGCTTTTAATTGAGCCTTTTTGATTTTTTCCCCCCTGCTGCTTATATGTGGCTACTGCAATGATAGGGATCCTGAAGACAGAAACATAATAAAGCTGTGACTTAATTTTGTTTAGTTCTTGGCAACATGATTTCTTCCTCTTTGTCAGTGGCCAGTGAATGTGTTGGTGCATGACCTTGCAACTTTCAGGAAAGAAAAGATCCAAATGACTAAGCAGATGGGTAACAGAATTGAACATCAGTGTTTAAGTGTTGAGACTAGGAAAAGGTGCTATTCAGAATATTTTCTTGATTTAATGCAAGATTCACATTCCTACACAAAATACCTTATATTCATATTTTTACATTGGACAATCTTGAGTAATAACTTCCATTTTTCCCCGGAGCAACCCTCCCACAGAAGTAGAGGGTAAAGGTCATAACTTAAAGCCAGTTGCACTGTGCCAATGTGACTGAAATTTTTTTCACCTGAAGGAATGAATTTAATTGCTGTGAAGGAACAAGAAAAGTTTTACCTAAAATGAAGACTAGCAGTTGCATAGTTTCATTTTTTCCAGAAACATGATACTGATCACTGAAGTTTCTGGTTCTGATTTATGAGATAGGTAGTGATGATTTTGCTACGTGAAAAAAATCTGTAAAAGTGGCAGGTTAATTACAGGATATGCCATTAATGGGTGAGATATGGTTATTCCTGTTTTCCAAGTTCCCCTTTCATGATACAGTGTTCTGTATCTTCTGGAACAAAATTTATGTGTATATTATGTTATGTATCATCAGGTAAACTTAAATTTTGCAACCTGTACACATAGAGATCTCTGAGTCTTTTTCCTTCAGTCCCTCTCCACACTGATTGCAGGAAGGACTGCTTGCATTAGCAGCAAATGAAATACTGTTTGCAGTGGTTTTGAATAACTAATTTCTGTGAGGTTACAGAAATTACTTTTGGTTCTTCAAATAATTTCTGCAAAGCAAGCAGCCTACTTTGAAATCTGTACTAGGATGAAAAGAAACAAAACCAAAATGTGAATCTCCCAAAGTAGTATCCTCCTTTTTTGGAATGATCCAGTGGCTTAATAAGGTTAATTTGTTTTAGGTTGTGGGGATCCTTTATCTACTGTATAGAAGCTTGAATTTCACATAAATGTGACAGATCCTGTACTTACTGCACTGGAACTTAATTATTTGATAGCATAAGGACCTGAAATCCCTGCTATTCCTCTCAAGGAATTATCATGGCATTTTCTAGATGGCAAAGAGAAACTAAGGGATGGTTAGTCTAATTTCTCAGTGTTTGAAATATCTTTGCAAAATTTTTCTAAGATGTTTTTGTTTTAAACCCATGAAATTTCAAAGCATCTTTATTAAAGATTCTCCAAATACTATTGATAGTATGTGGCTATTTTTTATTCTCTTCCATTTTGCATATGTATTTTCACCCTTTGAAATGCTTTTCTGTATTGTACATGAATGTTTCATTTCATTGCACTCTTTTTCCATGAAAGTCTTAAAATGTCTGATTTTTCTCCTCCTAATTACTACAAAGAAGGCTTTCAAAATTTTTGTTTCAGTATGAAAATTTCCCTCTCAGAATTTTACAATAGCTCTTTTAACTGGCTTCCATTCCTGATGGCTACTTTTGTACATTGTACTTTGTTTTCCCTTAGTGGTTGTATTATGGCATTTGTGTATAGATAGTAAAGCAGTATAAAGTTATATATGATAGAAGAGTTAGGACAAAAAATTTCAGGATCAGTGATATACAGAATACAAATTAAAACTGAGATAGTGAAAAAGTATGTAGTAATCCTATCACTAAATTTACTTTCATTTGTAGATTCAGTGTCTAGGATTTTTATGTACCTTTCATAAAATAAAATTTAGTGAATTTGTGTTAGGATGAGTGTGTATAAGGTATGTAATTCCTATCAAAATTAAAGCTAATATGAACCTGCAAAAGCAGGATGTGTTTGTTCTACTATATATTATATATATCCAATATATCCTAGGATAATTTTTTGTCCTATTCACAAATAAAGAACTTTACAAGTATTTTATTAAGAAAAAAATGAATGTATTTATTTAAATTGCTTTATTGGCATGTATACCAGAGGAATTGTTTGGAAAAGCATTAAAAGTAATTTTTGGGGCAGCCTGTGCTAGTAGCTGTAAAAATATTTGCTCAATGTCTTTAAAGGTATAAAATAGAGATTGCCAAGTCCAGGCAGATAATATGAATTACTTTCCTCATGCTCTATTGAATTAAAAATTACAGTTAGAAAGTGAAGAAAATCAGTGTTTGTGCAATGTTTTTTCCTCCTAGGTTTTTGATTTAAATGTATCATTTCAGCATATCAAAATATGATGGATCATGGGTTAATTGCCTGCATTGTGTTCTATCATTTCAGCTGTAGCACAGCATGATGTGGTTGAGTATAATCAAACCTGACACGGTACAATACATTGAGTGATGACAAAGACCACAGTGTTCACCGCAATTTGTTATACTGAAGAATGCATGGTTCCCTAATGAAATGTTGAGCAGTTTATGTTTTGTTGATGAAGACCCGGAGTCTAATTGCTAGCTGTGGGTTTTACCTCTAGGAAATTCATGGGGTCTATAACCTACATCAAGTTTTGTTCCTTACTAAATCCTTTTAGGAGCTGACACTGTGAAATAATGGAGTGAATCCAAACATCAATGTTGGGCTCTTTTCCTTGTAAAAACTCTTTTTTATTGTTTGACATCAGGGATATAAAGGTAGCTGAAGCATTCAGTAGACAGCCTTTGCATAAAGCACACAAAAAGTTAAATAGCAGCAGAACTGAGGGACAGGTATTGCTTCACATAATTAGTATTCCTGCCCATACAAGATTGTAGGTCAATATCAGCTAAAGTTCAGATTTTTTTTCTCTCTTTCTTCCGATGGTAATGAACTACCCCCAGGAATATCTAGCCTTGTATAAGCAACTACTGAAAGTTCAGTTAAAACATTTTCCAAACTCCAGATCCTTTGGTAACTAGCTGCTGAACCAGAAAGGGTATTTTGGTAGCTCTCCTTGTACCAAATTGCTCCTCTTGTTGGACTCTAGCATTATGGTTCTGATAATCAGGTAGAGCAGCATGAATGGAAGTGATAGGTACAATTATGAGGACTGTCCTGTTGCCTCCCTTGTTTGAAAGATTTGGGTCACCATGTTCCCAAGTAAACTTTGCAGTGCCAGGCAGAAAAATTTAAAGTGTGATTCCTTAATAGATTTTATTTCTGGATTTCATTTGAGTGTTTTCCCTGTATCCTGCCAGTTGTTCTCTGTCTGCCTGTAGGAAGGTTTTGGAATACCATGCCAAATTCTCTTCTGGGCATAAAGTCTGGAGACATGGATTGTGAAAACATATGTATGTATGGGTATTTTAGCATTGATATACAAAGTTTCTCCCATAGGGAAAAAGGAAAAAAATATTGGTAGAGGTACACAGCTGTTTATGGGAGTCCGGAAATTAATGTAGTTTCTAGGTTGGTTTTATGTTTCTGTTTCCTGCTTGATTGGAACAGGCCCATATGCAGCCTTGCATATCCCTTCAACTGTTCTTCTTTAGCCAGGGTTTTCTGCCTGAGATAGTTATACTACGTTTTGAAAAGAGATCAACTCTCCATTCTAGTGTTAATACCATTGCAATTCTTATTTCATGTGTGGCAGATTGCCTTACAGAGCCAAGTTTAATGCATTTATAATTAAAAAAAAATACAAATGAAACAATATGATGTTACTTCTCAAGATATCAAATTGTTCATCTTCTTGTTTTCACAGCTCACCATGTTAAAACTGGGACCTGTGAAGTGGTGGCGCTTCACAGATGCTGCAATAAGAATAAGATAGAGGAAAGATCACAGACAGTGAAGTGTTCCTGCTTCCCTGGGCAGGTAGCAGGTACCACCCGGGCAGCTCCTTCTTGTGTTGATGGTGCGACTCCTTCTATTGCTTACTTTCTTTGTGTTCCTGGGACTTTTTGCTGGCTTAAGGTCATTAATGAGACCCACTCCATTACAGTTAACTATTTAAACTAAGAGTATGAAAGCTTCTGCATTTTGAAAGGTGTGTCCAAGGTGAATGGGAGGAAGATGGGAACATTAATTATTTGCTATTGCTCTGTAGAAATGCTAAACAAAATTATTAGATGCCAGCAAAAGAGGCCTCTTGAGAGGCTAAATTTGATCTAACTAAATGAGGACTCTTGGAGTTGAATGAAATTCACTTAATTAAAAGTATTTATGCAAAACCTACATAAGCATATAATTTTCGTGTGCTTCAGTTTTACATCTTATTTATATATTTATCTAACTGGAAAGATACAAGCAAACAAACAGAACATAGTTCTGTCTGGTTTTTAATCTTTTTAGACCTACACTATTATTCATATTCACAGTGATATATTAGTGTCTTAGTTAGCAATTCTGGTATTGGCTCATATATTTTATTTGGGAAAATACTAGCTGATTTTTCACATCTCTTTATCTGAAAGAGTGGCTGGATTCACCCTTTACATGATCTCTTTAATGTTGATATGTTGTTGGCTTTCAGAGAAGCTGTGAATATGTCATCATTGGGGAATAAATTTAATCAAACTATATGCTAGGCTATATTATAGACCAAGCAAAAGAAGAGAGTCTACCTAAAACTTTAAAATCTGGCTGAGCAAGATAAAAATGAAGTTGGGAAGAAATGCTATGAAGAGATTGACTTTGAAGCACATAGCACTTTTTGTAAATTGGAAACAATTTCTTCTGAAGGTTCTGAGGTAGCTGAAAATCACCGACTAGCTGTCAGTCAACATGTTTCTCATATTTTCCTGGAAAATAAAATAAATGTTGCAGTGTAATGACATCTTAAATTGTCCATTTCAACAAAATACAAATACATTTGTTTTCTTCTCTTGTAGCTTCAATAGTGGAGCAGAAATGGTGGTGCCACATGCAACCATGTCTTGAAGGGGAGGAATGTAAAGTTCTTCCAGATCGTAAGGGATGGAGCTGTTCCTCTGGGAATAAAGTGAAAACAACTAGGGTAGGTATGATACCAACCTGACATGTTACCAACAAGTAAAAAAAAAGAAAGGTGCACAGGAAACTGGGTGCACAAAGAAGACCTAAGTTGAGAAGACTAAAGAAGCATGAGAAGAGAGTTGTACTGGGATTGGACTTCCTGGTCCCTCACACTTTTCTCAGCATACTTTTCAATTGTTTGAACATAGTAAGCTGTGTGCCAGACCTTCTCAGGTAAGTGCTGGGGATAATAGAGTTGATCCCTTCAACAGTAATTATCAAATTCATTATAATCTAATATGTATTTCTCTCTGAAATTAGTTGCACTGTGTCTGTACACTTTGTTAAACTCTTCATTCAAAGGATAGCAAACCAGCATTTTTTGAAGTTACATGGAATTACCACGATTCCACATAGAAACTGATCATGGTAAGCATTTGATGTGTCATTACAGCGTGATCTGGTTCTTTCCATCTTGTATAACTGTAATTTATTAAAAAAATTTGACTGAGTTTCAGGGATTTCCTTTCCTCCACTTGACACTTTTCACATTATTGGTTCAAATTTATATTAACAGAAATATATTTAAAGGTCATTATATAGACAACAAAGAAAACATGCTGTCAACTTTGCATATTAGTGGCTAACTAAAACAGAAGAAAAAATATTATTCAGATAAGCATTAAGCATACAAACTTCCTAAAATTTCACCATTGTATCTTGTCAGAGTCAACACAATTCTTCATCAATATATAAAAGATGAAAAGACACATACGCATGTGTTTAAATACAAACACCTTCCCCCCTGCACCCCAACACACCTACTCATGACTGATTTTTCTTTTATGCATTTAATAGTTTGTAGTGTCAGACCATAATAGGCTAGATTGGTACTTAAACAGGTGTTTGAGTATCTACGTAATTTTATTGAAATATTCCTTACATAGGCACTAAATTTTTGGTGCACATTGGCTGTGGTGAAACACAGCATGCACTGACTGAATTATATTCCTTCTGTTCCACAGAGAGCTCTATGTCTCAGTGTCTGTATTTATAAGTCTCCAAAACATTTTGACATTCTTTGAAGAAAGGATGCTTCCTAAATATTCACTTTACAGTTCCTTCCTGAACCCACTTTTTGATATGTTTCTTCTGAAGACGACCTTGTTGGAATGCTGCCCACACTTAACTTTGTACATGCCGATGCAAATCTGATTATATGCATGTAAAAGTGTGTGCATATAGAATATAATCAAAAGGAACCAGATAGATGTTTAATAATAATATTAGAAATAGAAATAGGATTGTGTGTGTTTTGAAATTTTTCCTGGTTACTACTACATGACGCTATTAGTGTTACAGAATACTTGCCACTTTATATGTATTGAGAGGGTTTAACAAATGGTAAGTGGTCCTGGATTACATTTCTGTAGGAAAAAAGAGGTCACAAAAGGGGGAAGTCAAGTATGATTGCTTTGGTGAGATTTCTTCTTAAAAGCTTGTCAGAATATAAGTTTCTCTGCATTGGTTGAGGCGATGAAGCTTTTTCCACTACTAGAGATCTAAAGAAGCCCAAGGCTCTTGTCCTCAGGAGCTTGTGCCTTTATTGTTGTCAGACTTTTAGGTCTGTCTCTTTGCAGCAGCTGGAATTTTCTTGTTCTCCATGGTGGGGGCAATCCTCAGGACTCATTTCATACCTCTTCAATAATGATGCTTTGGAAAAGCCAGTCCTTTTCTATATTTGTTGTCATAAACACTGATTCAGTACAATGGCTACCATAATCTGCTACAGACTTAGCACCATTGAAAGGGAAATACTTGTCACCTTAAATTCCCACTATTTGTTCTGCCTTCTAGTTGTCCAGATGCTGTATGTTTTCCTCCTTTTCCTTTCATTTACCACAGAGCTGCAAGGCTATTCTGAGCAAGTAGCAAACTTCAATTCAAATTTCTGACTGCAAACTGATCTAAGTCATTGAAACCAGGTCAGTGACAGGAAGATACAGTGACCTGTTATCTTAAGAGACATCATTCTGATGGCCAGTAAAATATATATTGCTATTGAAAATATGTGCGGTTCTTTGTGTTAACAGAGTGGCTCATTATCAAAGAGCAAGTACTTTTCCCTAATATGTAGTCACTACCATATTTTTGTAGCTCCTCTTTCTGCTCCCCAAGGTCTATATGAATAAAAAGAAAAAAAATCTAAATTGCCTTTTTTTCCAAAATTCCCCCCTTTTCTTTTGAGAAAAATAAAAAATTAAAAAATAACTGTACAGAGAACCTATATTAAGAAGTTAAGAATAATAAATTTCTGATTATCAAATGAAATAATCCATATGTGATTATAATGTATAATGTAAAAGTATAAAGACACAAAGACAACAAAACAGCTTGGGTGATTTAAGTAAATTACAGGAAAACCTTCTCAAGGCATTCCTGAAAGGCCAAAAAAAAGTTTATCTTCACCTCCAAACATTTTCTGTAAGTTTGCCTTCTTCCTGTGCCAAAATCCTCACCCAATTATCTGCTGAAATACTATCCTACAGGATACCAAATTGAAAAGTAGCACCTACATTTCCACATCTTTAGCTGTTAATAGTTAACCTTTACGTTAGAAATAAAAACAGAGGAGGAAGGAGGTATTTTGCTTGTCCACCTCTGTTTGCATATTTATTCTCATATTGTAAAAAATTATGATACTGACTTCCTAATAGTTATGGTATTAATCACTAAGCAAAAAAGGCCAGATAAAAAATGACAGAAAACTAATTGATTTTTAAAAATGTGGTCTACTTGAGGTTTTGCATTTTATTAAGTTACATAGATCTCATAAGGTCATACATAAATAATGAATTACAAGTACTCAGAATTCAAATGTTAAGAAATCTAATTTGGAAATTATTTACCATTACAATAAAAAAAACAGGTATTGTTTTTCTAATTTGTTTGCATATTAGTGGAAAAGGCTGATATTAAGAATTAATCATAGAAAATAACTGAATATAGGGAAAAAATGTGTATGAAAAAGATGAGTGCTGATTGTGCTGATTTAGAATTGGCTATTTTGGGTCTATGTAACCTGCAGGAGAGAAAGGGAGGAAACTTAGGTAAATCAGTAATTTTTACTTCATATAAAGAAATATGGGCATGTGTTCCCAGTCATAATACCACAACAAAAGAGGATGTCCATGAATACATTAGGGGAATTATGAGACAATTATGAGGATAACAGCGATTTTACCAGGCACACTTGAGCATTCTTCTCCAGGCTGAGAAATTTTTGTGACAGAAAACAATTGCATTTTCCCCCCACATGGGTAGTCCCAATTTTTGATACATAAACACAAAAATTTTGTCACATTGCTCTCTTTCAATGATGAGAAAAGAGTTTCAAAACAATGAAAAATCCTTTTTTTTTTTTTTTACGTTTGAAGTACTCTTTCTTCTACAGTCTCTTCCTGATAAAATTATTCTACTTCCAGAAGTTCTACTTGTTTTCTTTCTTTTTTGGGGGGGTTTCCTTTTTCTTCTTGCAATACAGGAAAGGGTCTGTATTTAAAAAAAGTAATTTTCCCACCAGTTGAAAAACATGTTGTTATTATGTATAAAATTGAGAATGACATTTTTAAAATTGTCTGAGTTTATATCAAACAGACAAGCCCTTTAAAAAGATGGAAAACTAATATTTTGCAGTCAGATAACAGCTGAAGAGAAAGAATTAAGTATTTCTCTTAGTTATGGGGTATATTCCATATCAGAAGTCTCTCTCTGGATAGGTCTTTTCCCTGGGCAGATCAAGATGCCAGGCTTTATTTGTATTTTTAAGACTACATTGCCTGATATTTTTATGATACAGGCAAGCTTTATGTAAAGTGCCCCAGTGTCTCTTGGGATCCCAGTTCTCCAGTCATCCACCCTGGGACTGGAACAATGGCTCCTGGGCAGCTCATAAACCTGTGTGTCTTTCCTGCAGAATTTAGAGAAAAAGAACAAAGTAAAGTGGTGTATCCTGGGTCTCATATTGAGATTCTGGAAGAGGAATATGACTGAAGAAGTGTGTACTTGTTCCAGGCAGTGGGCGAGGGTGCCTGGGCTGATATTTTATGAACATGTAGAGAAATATGCATTGGTATTTTTCATCGGAAAAAGTATAGAAAAACATAGGCTATTTCAGTTGAAAGGGATCTACAATGATCATCACATCAGGTGACCTGACCAATTCCAGGCTGATCAAATTAAAACACGTGAGAAACAACATTGTCAAAAAGTCTCTTAAACACTGATTGGCTTGGACACATCTTAGGAAGCCTTTTCCAATGTTTCACCATCATCTTGGTAAAGCAAACCTTTCTAATGTTCAGTCTAAACCCTCCCTGGTGCAGCGTTCAACCATTGCACAGTAATTAAATGGTACCTTGTCCTCAGGCTTTTAGTTTGATTTGGTAGGACTGGCTGTGGAATGAGGCATAGTTTAACAGTAAATTGTGGTTAAATTATGTGGGGTAGAATTTACTGGACTTTACTTGGGTTATCTCTAGAGTGAGATAACTAGCCCAAGATCTAGACTGTCTTTTTACTTTTAGATGGAGTTGTTCAGTTCCAGAGGACAATTGATTTTGTTCTAAGTCTGATGAATTGTCTTCTGGAGGTGCTTATGTTTCTCAAATAATCTAGAGGAAAACTACCTAACTTCGTAATGTAGTTTACTAACTTAGCCCCTAATGATAAATATTTAATGCTGAATAGGAAGCAGCTGGCTTAGATAATTTAGTAACTTTATGTGGTCTATCAGCAGGAAGATGACCATAAAGATCCGTCTATTCTTTGTCAGTTTGGGAAGCTTTAGATTTTGACTACTATAAAATGCAATATAATATATTAAGAGTTTAAAAAATATTCATATTCTGAAGATACACAGCTATGAGCTAAATCAGCGACTCACACTATGATGAGCAACATGTCCAGTGTCTACTACTCACAAAAAATTAGCAAAAGTGCATGTGTTAGAATTATTGGTGT